AACTGGACTGTTCTTATGACTGCAGATCTCCAGCTGGCCGAGATGTTCACGTTGTAACATCCCGTACCACTAATCCCGTGTCCTGCTGGCGGAGGGACTTGTGAATCCACGCACAACTCGCAGCATCACCTTTGCACGGCACTGGCCTCCAAGCCTCCAAGGTTTCTGCACTGGGGGCCAAGGTGGGCAGCGGCAGCACTTCCTCCTGCCTCCCAGGGACACCCAACCCTGACAACCTGAAAAAAACACAGACTTCCTCCCTTCCCCCGCCTCATAGAGCTGGTTCAAAACCAAGTTTCTGGACAAGAATCTCTCAAGCCTAAACGCTTGCTGAGATTTAAAAATGGCAATGTTGACCCATTTGAATACCTCAGAGCAAGGGGTGATCACCACTCGGGAAGTGACTGGCTCCCTAGGCATGGTGTGAGAGTGCAGATCTGCTCTTAAAATCAGGCTGGGGTCGTGTGCTTGCCCCCGAAGAACGCAGCAGAAACCAGAGGCAAGACGCTACCCAAGAGAGACCAACACCGCCACCAAGGGCAGCTGGCCAGACCACGGCAGATGGTGCCATTTAAAGGAGGGGAGATAGGTTTGGGAGCAGCAGTGTTTTCATCAGACACTGCAGTGCAAAGCGGAGACTCAGCATCCAACTAGGATTGTCCCGTCTCAAATGCTGACTCGAGGAAGGAGCTCTGGTTTGGTGCTGATCACAAAGGAGATTTCTTCCTGGCAGCTACATTCATCACCCAGCACTCAGAGGGATGCTGGTGTCTCTGTGATCACAGCTGTCTTTCACAGTGAGGAAGAAGAGCAAAACTCATGGCTCACAGCAAGCTGAACCAAGAGGCCCTGCACCACAACCGAAGCCACATGGTAAACTAAGTAACACTGCTGTATGGCAGGCCCAAAGCAGTGCACGGTGTGGGGCTTCCTTAGCTCTTTCTATATATCGGACCAAAGGCAGGGTCTGATGACTTGCCTTTAACTTGTTGACTTTGCACCACCTTGGCCTGATCCTGCCTGGCATTGAGTTCCCTCACACTACATACAGTGAGCAAGTCTGCGGTTCCTGGCAGAAAGCCATCACGGTGGAGGTTGTCGTGTTTTACATGCACCAGGTGGGAAACCCAGGACTGAAACCCTTTGCTGCAAAAGAGCGAGGCTCGGCCAGCACTGCTCCCATGGCAGCGAGCCCTTCTCCACTCCCTGCTGCTCACCGTTGCTCGGCTGTTCGGTGATCTGGAGGAGGAGATGACGTGGAATAGGACTTGCTTGCTTTCTCCTGAGATCCAGAAAGGCTGCAAAGAATTCTCTCATCTCAGGGAAGATATACAAGATCTCATTAGGAGATGCACATCCCTAATACTTGGCCCTGGCAGCAGGGTGCTCATATGTCTCTTTTCTGCCTCTCCAGTTGTTTACTCTCCTAGCACTGGCTATTTTTCTGGTAATGCAGCATTGCCAGTGTTACTGGTTTCTTAAACAATGAAGAAATGCAGCCAGATGGCCTTTGGAAAACAAATATGATATTAAAAACAGTGTTGCCATCTTTCTGACTGCAGCAGGCACCCATCAGCTTGAACATGCAAACGAGGGAGATCTGAGACGGTTTCAGGGACAGGATTATGATTTACATAGCTGGGTTGGGTTGAACCCCTGGGCTGAACTCTGCCAGGATCAAATGTTCATATTCGAAGAAAGGGACCTGTGTTATAAGTAATGTCCCCAGATTTCCCTCCTGGAAGAATTTTAAGGAAGAATTATCCTATGTTTGTGCTTGATATTTGCTGCGTGCTCTGCCTCCAACCTGGACTGAGTACCTAGACAGGCGTATCAGTGTGCAGGCAGTTTTGAACTCGTTTCAGTTTCAGGGGGTTTGCATGACCTCAAAACTGTTGCCAAGTTTGTTTGCGCTTGCTGCACGGGGAAGCTGCTGTGCTGTGGCTGGAGCTGACGTGGTGCTCGAGCCTCACAGCGGGGCCTGAGGACAGCCGCGGGCCGGCTGAGCAATGGGTCTCTACTAACACATGTGAAGAGGCAAGACTTGGGGGGACGATGCAAGGCCGGGAGCACCCAGGACTGGAAGGGCACAGCAGCCTTTGATCCTCTGCTGTCACCACGTCAGGTACCACCTCCAGCAACGGTATTGAAAACAGGCGTGTGGTCCCTTCCTTCCTCTCCCTGACACCCAGCAAGTGGTTGTTTCCTCTCTCAGGTTTCATTTTGCTCAGGTAAATGCCAACAGCTTCATCCCTTCTCTCAGGAGAGGCTCTCCATTCTCCGACTATCTAAGCAGCCCATCTCTGCACCCGATGCACCCAGGCGTCGCCACTCTGAGGCTGGGGACGAGCAGATCCGTTCAACGCCTGGCAGGGGCTCTGAGCAGCCCCGGGCACAACAACACTACTGCTCTTCAGTCTCACCTGCAAATGCCGTCACCGATGCAGCCTTCACCACACCGGTCTTTTAGAGTGCATCACTGCAACGCTTTAGTCATCCAGGAATCAATCAATAACTGGATTTTTTTTCTCCTCTAGCTGATAGGCAGAGCTGATGGTAATGTTCCCAGGTTGTGCGACTACACATATTGTACTACCACCTTTCATCCTCCTCCTCCTCTCCTCGAGTGGTTCTTTCTCTGTGATCTCCACATCCTCCTCCAACCGGGCACGTCTGTCACTTGGGCAATGTTTCATTTCCTTTGTACACTTTCACATCTTGTGGCAGTACCTCTAACGTGAAACACCAGTAACGAGACACCACGGCAAACCTGGGGAAAGTCCATCAAGCTCAAAATTTTCCATTCTGATATCTACTGCTCTCTCTTCTTTAACTCAGTTCCCTCCTCTGTTACTGTTTTTGTACTAAATTTTTATTTTGCCTAAACCCTTGTAAAACCAGTTCTTAGCAAAGAAAGCAGGCAGCAGAAGATGGAAGGAGCCTAGTGAGTGAAACAAGGCACCAAACCCAGAAGGCTGGTTGCAGTCGCAGCACCACGGTGCTACCTGGGAACTGGTCCTGTCTCAGGACAGAAGTCACCAAGGCTCCTGCTTCTGCAGGAGTCATCCAGAACGAGCCTTTCACACACGGTGACCTGACTTGTGTCCTTCACCTTCAGGCGACCCACCACAAGAGCCAGCGCCTGCCTCCCAGAAACACCAGCGGCAGGGGGCAGCAGCAGCCCCTTGTGAGGGGGCCTGCACTTCACAAAACCCCCTCCAGAGCGCTCCAGCACTGCTCAGGTACAGGTGGGGATGTGGCAGGACACCAAAAAATCAAAAATTCTGCCGTCAGAGCACAGCTCGATTAGCATGGTGTGGGATGCCAGGGAACAAGAGAAAACACAACGCCAGGTAGCTGCTCATACAGCAAACACTGTCCCCCAGTGCACCAAATAAAGAAGGATCCCATGGGAAAAGAGAGTCTATGACTTGACTATTTGTCCAATATACAGTTAAATGTGATAGTACAAATGAAAGATGTTGAGGGTATTTCCTGACTTGTGGAATGCTTATTCTGCAGTCTGACTACTTCAAGGGTTTTTGACCATAGCGTACAACATGTATAGTGGCTGTGTATAGTCCTAAAAATGCTGTTTGCAAAAATGTGGATCCTCAGTTAGGTGTGATATGTATTTATACGTATGTGTCTACCACTCCAGGATGTGTACACACACTGCATTGGGCTGAGAAGTCTTACATTTCTAAATACATCACTTTTAAATGATAAAAAGAAAAAGGTTCCTAATAAAGTCCACGCGCTTATAGATCTTCCTCTCTAATTCACAAGCCTATTTCAAGGACATATAGAAACATCAGCTAAGTGAACAGGTGTTGCTCTGTTGGACACAGAACATAAATCTATAGAACATAAACCTATAGGCTGTTTCCCCCCCCCTCTTAGAGCAATTAAAAACTGCTCTTATGCATCAGCAGAGCTAAAATTGCAATTGACCCCTACTTCTGATGGTTGTTCATGTTTTCCAAACTTTCCTCTGCTCCAGAGACCATGAGACATGCTCAGCTCATCATGCAGGTTTACAACCCTTACCCTAAGAGGTGAGGAGAGGTGGTTATTCACAGGGCCAATTGCTCTCCAGAGATGGAGAGGAAAACCAGAGGCGCAGGGTGGGACACAGCCTAAAACAGCACGTACATCCCCAGAGCAAGGGGCCTTCTGCAGGCACTGTGGGGAGCACCCTTCCAGAAAGGCTGTGGAGAAGGCAGGTGAGATATGGACTCCACAAACCCAAGAAAACTGCCAGCCTCCCAAACCAAACCCACAAACATGGAATGTCGTATGGAGGCATGGGAGCCTGGGAAGCGAAGGCCGCCTGTCTCACTCGTATGTTGGAGCACAGTGTTAGGCTTAGTGCAAGGGGCCGGAGGCCGTGTGCAGGAGTGGGAAGCCCTCTGTGGTCACTGTAGACAGCAGCACAGGAGAAGGGATGGGCCCAGCTCGACTTGCAGGTGCCCTGCTCCCTCTCCATGCCCTGCCCTACAACCCTGCAGGAAGCAGGCATGCTCCTTGCTCTCTGTCAGTGTAAAACACGCTCCCTGGAAGAGCAGCAGGATGATCACATTTACAACATTAGCTTGTTTCCGTGAGGCAGCTGCACAAACTACAGAAATGTCCCCAAAGCTGCAGTCCTAAACTCCTACATCTTTCACTGGTCTGGAGATCTGCAAGCCTGGGCCCTCTACGTATCCTATCCTGATAATGTGTTGGTATTATGAGTGTTATTTAGCATAACCCTTTCTTTTTTGGGGTTTCCCTTTGCAACTGTTCCGTCTTTAGAAATATGAGAGCAACATAGACATTGTAGAGCTGGCCCTTGCACATCATGGCTTTATCATGGGTAACGCTAAAGCTGTTTCACAGAAAGGAGAGTGAAAACATGTTCTCCAAGATGTGCAAGAGTCAAAGCAAAGCTTTTATCTATTTTGAAAGGGTCCCTAGTAACGGGGGAGAAGAGACAATGAGAATACTGAGATTTCTGAATATTTTATTGGGAATTCAGCAGCGCTTTCCAGAGCTGCCTCTTGTTACTGCTATCAGCTATTCCAGGAACATTTCAGGAGCCCAGCTGAGACCTCAGCCCCAAACAAGACAGTTGGCCCCACTGCTAGCTTGCTAGCTTCTCCTTCAAAGCTTTCCCCCAAGGCAACGGGGTGCATTACAGCAGCCGGCTGCACCTTGCCAGCTCTCCTCTCCTCTTCCCTGTCCCAGCCAGCTCCACCTCTAAACTAGGGCACCACCCGCAAGGTCACACTGCCCAGCAGAGGAGAATAGGAGGGACGGGATGCAGAGCAGGGCAGCAACGGCACAAAACTGTCAGCACAGCTGTTCTCATCTCGTGTTCGAGTGCTCTGGCATATGGAGGGCTCCAGAGCTGGGCAAGCTCTTCAGGGAGCCTCAGGGAGATCTCTGGCTGTGGCCATGAAGCCCTTCCAGGTGGTTGGTGGAGCTGCTTCTGTCACGTTGATGAAGCATCTGGGATGCTGAGGCAGCAATGCTTCCCCATGGATGGGCAACCAGGCCTGCCGCTCTTCTAGGGCTTTCAGTCTTTCGAGACTAGCTAAATTAAAAAACAAAGCCCTTATCAGCACCCTGCACAACATCTCTTTCTGCCTCACTAGCATAAATTTGGCCACAGAGAGGCTGTAGATGACACTGAAATTAAAATAGCTGTAAATACAGGGGCCAGAGCCAAGCTGCAGACAACCTGGCAAGAGATAAGAGCCACATGGGGGATGCAGGCTTTGATGGACAGGCTGGTCCAATTAAGCACTGGTACCTCTCAAGAAGAGGCAAAATCACAAAGTTAAATTGCGGACAATGACTAGACGACCACACTTGTTGTTTCAGCACAAATTTGGATCTGCTCCATCAAGGGACTTCTGAGCCCAAGAGATGGCTGTGATTCTTGGCCAGCAAAATGAAATCCAGGCTCAAAAGCAGACCTTGGCTCCCTGGGCGGCCAGAGCTAAGCGCTGCCAAATTGCCGTGCACAGCAGCTCACAGGCCGTGCGGAAACACACCCAGAGCTGCACTTTTACCAGGCTGCTGCCCAGCACCAACCAGGACAGGAACTGTAGGAGCTTTAAACCCAGTTTGCTGGCAGCATGGTCCTACTGGGAGTCAACCCCTGACCCTCACCAGCAGGCAGGTGCTCCTGCCTTTTCTTCCCAAGAGCTGAGTAGGGCTCACATAGCTTTCACTGACTTACCAAGGCAGTGGCTTTAGAGGTGGATGGTGCCTTATGGCAGTCAGTTTGCATCTCCTGCTCCACCCCAAGAGCACTCCTGGTTATAAACTCTGCCAAGGCTGAACCTCTGGACTGGGAGGGAGTCAAGAGCCACAGGCACATCGGTAAGAGCATGACTTGCCAACTAGTGGCTGCGGCATTTACTCAAGACAGGAGATTGGGTCCTGGACACTGGTTTCAGGACCACATATGTACTTTATTGTTCCAAATCCCTGCAGGATTTGAGCAGGGTCATGCCTGGTTTTCAGATGCCAAGCAGATGTCTGCATGAGGCTGGTGTTGTACTCTCAGCCTTCACAAACCCCAGGCAGATGTGGGGACAAGGAGAACTTCCAGACACTTAGTGAAGCTCTTGCGATCACAAACTCTGGCATCTCCAGGCTTTGAGGTATGGGCTGAAGGTAAGTGGCACTGAAGTGCTGGGCTTCACCAGAGCTGAACTACTCACATCTCAGTTCTGACTTAGGCCAGAGTTTTCGCATGACCAGACTCCCTGGTCCATTTGTGGAAAGGAAGAAGTGCTGGGACACCAGGTAGGCCCATGAAAGAGCTTCTGGCACATAAAGCTCCCTTGCCAACAAAATGATAATTATTCATGATGGCTTGTAACAGAGCTCTTCAGGTCATCCCCTTCCACCGAACAGGGACTGTAGAGCTATCTGTGGCTAAGAGCCCCATTCTTTGCCATATTGTCCTGTGAGTGGCATGAAGCTCTTCAAGTGTGATCTCAGGGAACTGAGCAGTGGTGCTGAGAAAGGACAGCATCTACCACTCCTCCAGGCAATGTGGCCACCTAACCTACTTGATGGAGAAACTGCCCCACACTGTCGTAGGGCATAGAGCAATCCTGCGTTCTCCACTGCCTCCTACCCTGAGCATCTGGCTGCAGCTGGCATAGACAGCAAAGCCAAGATGAACGCCGCCTGCCAAATACATTCAGCTGCATGCTACGATACAGCCAACCATTCTGTAGCAGATGGGCTGGTAAGCCCCTCTCCTAATTTCTCCCTTTACTCTCAGGCTACTCCAACCACATGTGCTCCCCCGTTCATCAGCCGGGCTCTCTCCAGCAGTGCTGAAACTGCCACAAGATATTTCGTGCGTTTGTCCCCTTCCCAGGGTTGGGTCCTCCAGTGCTGTAAAGCTGCTCGTCGGGTATTTTCACATTACCTGGTACATCTCCTTGGAGACGAGAGGAGCCTGCTGCGCAGCCAGGAGAGCAGGACAGCTTTGGAGAGTCAAGGCGAGATCGTTTCAGAGATTCCACATATCCAGGTTGGAAGAAAATTTAAAATTAATCCCTCACCAAAGTATCAGCCACACTAATACTACACCCTTTCTAATTTTACTTGAATGGATTATCCAGGAAGAGATGCAATACACGGTATTTTGGTGTCAATACTTTTGGGGGGAAACAGGGTCAAGCGATTGATGGATTTGGTTCTTTTTTAATTTCCTAAACTGACTCCTAATGGGAAGCTGGTTTCAGTGCACTGCCCCCAGATGCAAAGCGATGCACAAAAAGCTCCCAGAAACCTGCTCTGCCTCCATGACCTGCTTTCCCACCCATTTGTGCTTTCGCCCCCAACCCTGCTCTACGCCTGCTCTGAGAAGCCCCTCGTGACCCCCCTTTAACTTCCTCCTCCTCCTCACAACTCTTACAAAGGCAGAAGCAGGAACGGTTATGCGTAAGACTCTCTGGGCCGTTCAGTTATGCACATACCTGCTGAGAGAACACGTGCCCACACCGCAGCCTCCAGTTCCTCCTTCCTCTCCCCACCCGCTGCCCCTCTCACGCCCCG